AAAAGGGTATGAGGGAAGGAATGGATCCCATCCCTGTCAGCCAAAAAAGCGACACGAACTACCGGCCATTTTACGGCGATGCACCTCAAAATCCAACGCGCGAGCCACAGAGTCATCTCAAGGGAGCGTCCGGGACAAGTTGGTCAACTCAGTGGTACGGCTGCGTTTGAACAGGGTGCTTAGACAAATCTTCTTTGACGGGAGATGCCAGACCGCTTTTCACAGGTCCAAAAGAACCACAAGAGGCACGGTTGTCAAAACAAGCTTCTCTAACGTCTGCACCATGGTGGCTGAACAGCTTGGCTGGGCAGTGCGGAATGATTGAAAGACTAGGAGCGCGACTTGTTTTAGAGAGTCATCCCAGGGATTTGATTGGTGGAGAGGAATCACGTGGGGATCACGTGGCCGAAAGGAAACTATAGGCGGTACCCCCATGGGTACACTTTTTTCGTCCATGGAAAAAAGGTCCGTGCACGAGTAGGCGATTGGTCCATGAATCTAGATTAATAAGACGGATCAGAGCGGAGAGTCCATATTCATGCTCTGCTTTGCCAACATGAAATACAAAGGACTAGTTGACCCTAAGGACAAGCCGTTTGGCAGGGTGTTGCCCTTTGGAGTGCAAGTCAAAATCATGTTCTCTGTAGAGTGTTTTTATACTATGGACAAGCGAAAGAAGTTGCTACGGGAATTCAAAGGGTTGCCTAAATGCGATGTTACAGACCTCCCACAACACCTTGGCGAAGATCAATGGTGGAACCAAGTGGTGTTTTGCCTACATACGCCCGGAACATCCCACTGTCTCCACTGCCACCGACTATTCGATCACAAGTTATCGGTAAGCGAGAGTGGTTATGACATGTTTTTTTCTTCATGGCTGAACAACAAACTTAGATCGTGTTTATTTTTTGCAGATTGGTATGATGGTGGAAATGGCTCGCAGCCCCGTCAACTTGGACAACCTCATGAACGAGGGGATGGCTTTCGCCATTGATCGCTTCAAAGACAGAATACCCAATTGTCCCCTTGGACGGCAACCAGTCATGATAGGGAGAAGGAAGCCTGCCTATAACAATATTGACAAAGTGATGAACCCATTAGACAGAGTCATGAAGGTCCTGGAAGCTATGGGACACATTGTTGTTGTGAATGTACATTGAGATTTTATTCAACCTGTTACATGTGTATCAGTGTCCTAATGTTTTGTTTATGAGCGTTGGAATGAAGAGTCCAACGTGGGATAGGCCGCCACGCCTTCTTCTCGGGTGCCTACAATGGCTGTTTTGTCTTGTAACGTGGGAAGGCTTATCTGTTCTTCGGTCATGCCTTCACGGGGTTGATATTGTTGCAGGTTGGGATTCCACCAATACCACTATTCCATATCCAAATAAAAAACATAGAGGGGTTTCAGTAAAATTTGAGCCATGGCCACACTCCAACCCGTGCCGCCCAAGATATGCTTGCGTAGTTCGTCAAAATACCCCAAAGCCAAGACTAAGGAAGCAGGCTTGATCACGTGATAATTGCGCTGTAAACACGGGAGGGTGATGGGATAGGAGATAGGTCGACCTAAATGAAATGCGGCCCGAGTGACAATAGGCATGGCGGCGTCCAAGTCGGGCTGGGTCAAGGGCGCGAGGGACTTAGCTCGAGGGTGACAGGGTGGGATGAATACCACACACGAATGACCATATTTGTGACATAAATGTTCCACATGTGTATACACGCCTTTGGCGCCTCCCGTGTAAATGGTCAGCGGCATCGTCTATGAAATAAAAAAGGCTGTATTAATGTTTATTCTTGGACAAGGGATTCCAAGCCCACATGGTGTGCGGTTCGTCATCGTCATACATCAGGGGTTCCTGCCATTCCCGGTAGGTGACAGTTTGTTCAAAGATACGTTGGACGGTTCGGCATTCACTGCAATTATCGGGGATCCAATCCAGACCTTTGCCTTCAGCAAACGCTTCGTCTTTGTCATCGATGCATTGGTTGCATAAGACGTGGTCCAAAAGACGATCGCATCTTTTTTGCCAAAGCACCCATTGGGCATTCACTTGGGAGAGAGTCGGTAACACATTGGAATGTCGACGCAACCAGCCACTCATTTGAAAAGCACGTACTCGATCACAACAATTGTGTCAGATACCGCCTTCGCCGTGGCTGTGATCGTGACACCAATTACGGCCATGATCGTTGGTGGCCTTCAAATTGACGGTGGCAATGGGAAGACTGGATAACTCCACCATGGTCACCGTCCAAGACTCTTCTCATTTGTTCACACTGATCGCCGATTCGGCCCTCGATATCAGAACTCTCCGCCTGTGTACTGACGACATCTTGGAGGCCGTCTTTAACAGTGTCAAAGAGAACGCGGTCAAAGGGACCGAGACCAATATTTTCATGGCGGCTTTCACCACATGTCGTGCTCAGCTCAAACTTTACGAGTCCCTCGATACCCTTCAAAAGCAAGTCCTTTACTACGATACCGACAGTGTGGTATACAAGTGGCGTCCCGGTCAGCCTTACATCGCCATCGGTGATTTTTTGGGAGATATGACAGATGTACTGGATGGAGATGTCATCACAGAGTTTGTTTCCGGTGGCGCGAAGAATTATGGGTACAAGACACGTGCAGGCAAAGTCGTCTGCAAAGTACGCGGTTTCACGCTGAACGTCCACGGATTAGCCATCTTAAATTTTGAACCCATGAAAGACAATATTTTGTCGGAATTAGAGACTCCTCAGGACTCCCGTCGTACCTTGAACATAGCCACGCCTTATCATTTTCGAAGGGATTTGGAACAGAAACAAATTCAAGTCGTTCCGCGCGTAAAGCAGTATGGGTTGGTTTTCGACAAACGGGTGGTAGATGTCGCGACCAAATCGAGTCATCCCAATGGCTACGAGAGGATTGGGGATGAAATAGACCTTTTGTTAGATTTGTAAACCAATTCAAGGGCGTGACGTCACCAGGATGTCACACATGTCCCGTATGTAAAAAGGTACTTTTCGACATTCTATTAAACAAAAAATATGATTTTGACATAAATACAGTGTGTTTTTATTCACTTCCGGTCGCGCTGTCCTTTCACTTCCGGGGACCTGGGGAACAGTTGGGGATGCTGCTTTCTGATTGGTCGAAATGGGTCACGTGAACAAATTGATGACGTGTCCAATGCTAATGAGGTACGTGCCCAAAAACAATACCCCCATTGTCTTTTCTGCGCTCTGATTGGTTACTACCAGAAGTAGCCCTGTTGACTAATGACCGGTCTCTAAACTTTAACTTCTTCCCAGATCTGATGCCATAATGATAACACTCGCACTGTTCGTGTCACTCCTATTGACGGTAACAAGGCGTTATTCTGGTAAGTATGTCCGTCTGGTTTCTAACAATTTCAATTTTAACTTGACAATTAACTGAGAGATTTCCTGCGCTATTTGGTCATTCGAGCGCTATGGTCGATGTTAGTTTTTTTAAAAACTTTTTAGGAGCGGCCGTTAATGTCTCTAGCAGGGGAGGCACATTTAGACACCCACGGCTGCTTACGGCACAGTTCGTGTTATCATTCTCCGCCTTCGGCCACGGCTTACAACACTTACAACGACCTTGACCGACCTCATTCAATAATTGGCTTGCATTGTTCATTATCGTTAAGTCACAAGAGTCAAAAGTGCCCAATTTGATCCTTTTTAGCCTTGGAATGCCCAGAAACGTGGAAGGAATTTGAAGGCTTTTGCTACAAGGTTATGAATAGGCTTGGTTATCGGCGGAGATTTGCTTGGTCAACAGCAGTAAGCGGATGTTTTGGGTTTGGAGGAGACCTGGTAAGCATATCGAATGAAAAGGAAAGGAAGTTTGTCCATGACACGACTTTCAAGGACGCAAACCGCACTTCTGTTTGGATTGGGTTGGCGTATCGGCATCAAAAGGGTGGATATGTATGGAACAATGGAGAATCATTTAACATTTCTGTTTCTGTCCAGTGGCTCAACATGTCGAGAACTGTTCATGAAAATAAATGCGTCGAAATCTTGAAAAAGGGCTGGAACCTCACCGAATGTTGCAAGGAAAATAAACATCTCTTCTGCAAGAGACCGAAAGGTGAGTTGTTCCTGCGTGGGAACTCGACATTGAAAATGATGGGGAAGTTCTAATCGTACCAGGTACGACCAAAGCACAAGTAAAATTTGATCCTTTAAGGCACTTAAACTCTTAAACAGACTTTAGATAGCCTTTACGCCTTTAAATTTTTGGCCGGCTAGATTCCACCCTGATATTTGGCTTTTTCCATTTGTTTTCTCGTTTTGTTTCGCAGTCATTTTAACCTCTATTATAACCTTGCTGGGTTAAAGGAGCTTTTTTGGTTACAATGCAGTTTTTGACACATGACCAGCCACGCCCATAATTATGTAATTTTAACGTGTTAGAATTATTACACCCAAACACATATTAAAGATCCTAATTTTTTCTTGTATTCTATTTTTTAAAAAAAATGAAATATAACAACTGATTGATTACCGGGAAATTTTAGAATATTATATTCTTTGTTCTCTGATTCTCGTCCCAGTCTCTCTAACGTTTACAACTGTGACATGATTCTTATTAGTTTCAAACTATTTGCTCTGTAAATGTTTCACTAATGAGGTCCATTGGCCTGTTCTGCTGGTTGGTTTTTCAATGGAGTATCTTGCTACAAGGAAAATGGAAACGGTACCTGGGAAGGTGCACGACAAGGGTGTACTGATTCCGGAGGTGATTTAGTGAAGGTTGATGATGATAATAAAAAACGATTTTTGATTCACTTCATGGAGGTCACCGGTCTGAAGAAAACCAATTTAAATGTAAGTATCGAGTCATTAACTCTCCGAGCCTCATGATCGGATGATCAGCATGAAATTTCTCCATGTAATATTAATTCATTATAAAACATATTAGTCACAAGAATTAATTTTATAAGGAGATGATCAACCGAGGTAAATGTAACTGATTCTTAATACAATTACTCTTCCCACCACATCTGTAGGAAACGTGTAAGGACAGGACATGGGCATTTAACTTGAGATGTTAGGTTTTTTGTGCAGTTGATAGAGCACCCTTAAGGCTAGGGTAATTAATTATAAGAAGAGATTTCAAAGAGGAATGCGGAGAAATCACATGTTCTGTGTAGTTCGTGTCACAGACCCAATTGAATCAGTGATGTAGATCGTAGACAGTTTTAATTCCATTTTCATCTATATTTGTATCTTGAAAAACGCAAATGTTCAAAAGACAACGTTTCTCATGCTCAGTTACTTTGGCATAACCTGAGATCAGGCCCAATTTTAGCGGTTCTCATACATTCTCTTTAACGGCCACCGCTAAAATTGGGCCTTTTCCAAACTCTCTCAGTAACGCTGATTGGCTGTTAGAACAATGCCACAAGATCTGATTGGCTGTCGGAAACGCCAGAAGTTGAAAGCTCTTATTCCTCTCGTGGTTGTTTTCGTGAATGATCCGCTATCGGCGGAGAGAAAGGTCAAGTATGCTGTCGTTTTTGCTTGATGGTCTTATGGTAGGAAAGCATTCCTTAATATGTACCATGGAAATTCAGAAAATTCATATGGTTGTTCATATCTTCTCTGGTTTTGCTTTATTTACGGAACTAATGTGAGTGTATCGCGGAGTTGAATCCCTCTGCAAGTTCAGTGTTGACCGCTAACAAGGTGCTTTTTGATTTACCAACAAACGAGTGCAGATCAAAATATTGTCCATCTTAAAAGTGGTTTTATTTGAAAGTTTAGCCAGGAATGACTTTTCTGAGCGGGGTACGCAAACGGAGGCTCATTGCCAAAGAAACCTCAATCGCCAACTGTGAAGTATTAGGCGAAAAACATCGCATGATCACTGTTTAGGGAATTTTTGTTGGCATTATCATAAAAGCTAGTGGTGCTACTCTTGAGGTAACAGACTTGTTGTTTGCCTTCGTTTTTTTGTAAAAAGTAAACCAGAGAAACTGGTGTCTTCGCTCGTTGGCTGTTAGCTGTTTGTTAATTTTGGTACATAAAATAAAATTTAGCGAGCTTTTCAGACCTGCAGTCAAACATCAACACAACTAATTAAAGGAGAACTACAAAGTGTGTTTGTAATATTGTTTTTCGTTTTGCTTAAAGCTCTCCAAAGTGATAATGTTTACATGGATTTATAAAGAAAAATCCTTTTCAAAACTTCGCGATATATTTCTCTAAGATTTTTAAAGATTTATGTACTGAAAATCGGGGAAAATTGCCGAGGAAAATGTAAAGGCATCAGGAAAAAAAAATTCAGTATTTTAAATTCGAGCGCGCTTAGCCAAAACATTAAGACTAGAACATCTGGTGTCGCCGTCTTTTCGAAAACTTTTTACCTTCTACGCCAATAGAAATAACCTTCGAAATCTCCTTTAATCTCGCAAGAAGTTAAATGTGATTGTGCTGACTGTTTTATTTTTAGTTGAAAATATTAGAAGGTTAAAGCTATTTTTTAAGTCAGCGAGTCTGTATTTTTCCCACGTATGGGAAATTTGAATATTAAAAAAACAAGGAACTGAAGTAATTTTGGTTGGCTGATTCGGCAAATGTCAATCAATCAAAAAAGTGGGCGGCAGACGCTTCGTAGAAGGTTTGTATCAGGCTCTCTTTTCGTTTCGCCTTGCCCACCGGAATGTTATTTATAAAGCGAAACGAAAATGGAGCCTGATCTCAGGTTACTTTGGCAAGCTGAGCGCACAAAGTGAATTGTTATAAAATGCAAGTTTATCGTTCATACATACATACACTCCAAGCAATTCTGGTGAATTTGATAGAAAACCAGTTGTTCTGCCTCTCATCAGCTGAGACGTCTTGATCTAAAATGCCATCTTGATTGAATAACGATATATGCCCTTCTGGGCAAAAATTATTACTTAATTTGATTGTAAGTGATCATAATTAAGTAACTCCATACTGTCATGTTGACAGTGGTGTTAGTTACATCAGGCGGAAAACTCACGAAACAACATCACCTTTAATATCATTCCTGGAAAAGTCTTGGCAGAAGCACAAGCACAAGCATAAGGACATACTCACGCGCAGAATGGCATATTTGAGTCAATTCTTAATACCAGCTCTCCTCAACCCGATGATAAACAAGATGATGGACTCTTTGTCCGCCATATTGCTTTGATATGTTTGCATGAGGTCTGGGTCAAAGTGACCTTTGATTGTTTCACGGCCTTGTACTTACGCATGTGCTTATGTCAACCCAGTTTTAAACAGTCAAAGCTACGATATAAGCATAAGCACAAGGACAACGAACTTGTCCGTTTTTCTTGTGCTTATGCTTATGCTTATGCTTATGTCGAACCAGTTTTCGCTTGCTTACACCAGTGCTTGTGCTTATGCTTATGCTTATGCTTATGTGCTAGTGAAAACCAGGCTTAAGAAAATTCTTGGCCGAGAAGTTATCATGAGGTTAAGCCTGGTTTTCACTAGCGCATGAGCATAAGCATAGGCACAAGCACATGTGTAAGCAAGTGAAAACTGGGTCGACATAAAGCATAAGCATAAGCACAAGAAAAACGGACAAGTTCGTTCTTCTTGTGCTTTTGCTTATCCCCATGTCGTAGCTTTGACAAGTGAAAACTAGGTCGACATAAGCACATGCATCAAGGCCGTGGACCAATCGTAAGCCACTTTGACCCAGACCTCATGCGAACATATCAAAAGCAATATAGCGGACGCTTCGTCCGCCATCTTGTTTATCATTGGGTCGAGGAGAGCTGGTATCGAGAATTGAGTCTAATATGCCATTCTGCGCGTGCGTATGTCCTTATGCTGACGCTTACGCGCTGGTGAAAACCAGGTTTAACAAAGTGAAAAAATAGGCTTTTTTCAAAACATCCTTGTCGCCATGGTAACGATCGAAATCTATGTCAAATTTATTGTCCTTAGTATAAATGTATTCTGTCCATACCAAATATGACCCTCAACGAGTCTTGAATGACACTCCCATTATCAAACTGTTTACAACCACCTTAATTAATTGTGTTTTTTGTAGTGAATTGTTCCATTTAATATTTTTTCTGTATCCCTTGTAATTCCTTTATACAGCACGTATGGATTGGCCGAAAAGGTGATTCGAATTGTTTTCAAATGGCGACAGACACTCGAACGATAGAAAAGGCGGGGGACTGTAACGACGAAAAGAACTATATTTGTGAAATGCCAGCGTCAACAACAAGTACGTTTTCTATCATCCACATCGAGAAGGTTACACTTAGCACATTATCGCAATAGCCCATTCTTCTCATTTGTTCACACTGATCGCCGATTCGGCCCTCGATATCAGAACTCTCCGCCTGTGTACTGACGACATCTTGGAGGCCGTCTTTAACAGTGTCAAAGAGAACGCGGTCAAAGGGACCAAGACCAATATTTTCATGGCAGCTTTCACCACATGTCGTGCTCGGCTCAAACTTTACGAGTCCCTCGATACCCTTCAAAAGCAAGTCCTTTACTACGATACCGACAGTGTGGTAAACAAGTGGCGTCCCGGTCAGCCTTACATCGCCATCGGTGATTTTTTGCGAGAAATGACAGATGAACTGGATGGAGATGTCATCACAGAGTTTGTTTCCGGTGGGGCGAAGAATTATGGGTACAAGGCAAAGTCGTCTGCAAAGTACGCGGTCTCACGTTGAACGTCCGCGGATCAGCCATCTTAAATTTTAAAACCATGAAAGACAATATTTTGTCGGAATTAGAGACTCCTCAGGGCTCCCGTCGTACCTTGAACATAGTCACATCTTATCATTTTCGAAGGGATTAGGAACAGAAACAAATTCAAGTCGTTCCGCGCGTAAAGCAGTATGGGTTGGTTTTCGACAAGCGGGTGGTAGATGTTGCGACCAAATCGAGTCATCCCTATGGCTACGAGAGGATTAGCGATGAAATAGACCTTTTGTTAGATTTGTAAACCAATTCAAGGGCGTGACGTCACCAGGATGTCACACATGTCCCGTATGTAAAAAGGTACTTTTCGACATTCCATTAAACAAAAAATATGATTTGGACAGAAATACAGTGTTTTTTTATTAACTTCCGGTCGCGCTGTCCTTTCACTTCCGGGGACCCGGGGAGCAGTTGGGGATGCTGCTTTCTGATTGGTCGAAATGGGTCACGTGAACAAATTGATGACCTGTTCAATGCTAATGAGGCACGTGACCCATCAAACAATACCCCATTGTCTTTTCTGCGCTCTGATTGGTTACTACCAGAAGTAGCCCTGTTCACTAATGACCGGTCTCTAAACTATAACTTCTTCCCAGATCTGATGCAATAATGATAACACTCGCACTGTTTGTGTCACTCCTCTTGACGGTAACAAGGCGTTATTCTGGTAAGTATGTCCGTCTGGTTTCTAACAATTTCAATTTTAATTTGACAATTAACTGAGAGATTTCTTGCGCTATTTGGTCATTCGAGCGCTATGGTCGATGTTAGTTTTTTTTAAAACTTTTTAGGAGCGGCCGTGAATGTCTCTAATAGGGGCGGCGCATTAAGACACCCACGGCTGCTTACGGCACAGCTCGTGTTATCATCCTCCGCCTTCGGCCACGGCTTACAACACTTACAACGACCTTGACCGACCTCATTCAATAATTGGCTTACATTGTTCATTATCGTTAAGTCACAAGAGTCAAAAGTGCCCAATTTGATCCTATTTAGCTTTGGAATGCCCAGAAAAGTGGAAAGAATTTGAAGGCTTTTGCTACAAGGTTATGGATAGGCTCGGTTATCGGTGGAGATTTGTTTGGTCAGCAGCAGTAAGCGGATGTTTTGGGTTTGGAGGAGACCTAGTAAGCATATCGAATGAAAAGGAAAAGAAGTTTGTCCATGACACGGCTTTCAAGGACGCAAACCGCACTTCTGTTTGGATTGGGTTGGCGTATCGGCATCAAAAGGGTGGATATGTATGGACCAATGGAGAATCGTTTAACATTTCTGTTTCTGTCCAGTGGCTCAACATGTCGAGAATTGTTTATGAAAATAAATGCGTCGAAATCTTGAAAAATGGCTGGAACCTCACCGAATGTTGCAAGGAAAATAAACATCTCTTCTGCAAGAGACCGAAAGGTGAGTTGTTCCTGCGTGGGAACTCGACATTGAAAATGATGGGGAAGTTCTAATCGTACCAGGTACGACCAAAGCACAGGTAAAATTTGATCCGTTGAGGCGCTTAAACTCTTAAACAGACTTTAGATAGACTTTACGCCTTTAAGTTTTTGGCAAGCTAGATTCCACCCTGATATTTGGCTTTTTCCATTTGTTTTCTCGTTTTGTTTTGCAGTCATTTTAACCTCAATTATAACCTTGCTGGGTTAAAGGAGCTTTTATGGTGGCTACAACGCAGTTTTTGACACATGACCAGCCACGCCCATAATTATGCAAATTTTACATGTTAGAATTACCACACCCAAACACATATTAAAGATCCTAATTTTTCTTGTATTCTATTTTAAAAAAATGAAATATAACAACTGATTGATTACCGGGAAATTTTAGAATATTATATTCCTTGTTCTCTGATTCTCGTCCCAGTCTCCCTAACGTTTACAGCTGTGCCATGATTCTTATTGGTTTCAAACTATTTGCTCTGTAAATGTTTCACTAATGAGGTCCATTGGCCTGTTCTGCTGGTTGGTTTTTCAATGGAGTATCTTGCTACAAGGAAAATGGAAACGGTACCTGGGAAGGTGCACGACAAGGGTGTACTGATTCCGGAGGAGATTTAGTAAAGGTTGATGATGATAATCAAAAACAATTTTTGATCCACTTCATGGAGGTCACCGGTCTGAGGAAAACCAACTTAGATGTAAGTATCGAGTCATTAACTCTTCGAGCCTCATGATCGGATGATCAGCATGAAATTTCTCCATGTAACATTAATTCATTATAAAACATATTAGTCACAAGAATTAATTGTATAAGGAGATGATCACCCGAGGTAAATGTAACTGATTCTTAATACAATTACTCTTCCCACCACATCTGTAGGAAACGTGTAAGGACAGGACATGGGCATTTAACTTGAGATGTTAGGTTTTTTATGCAGTTGATAGAGCATGCTTAAGGCTAGGGTAATTAATTATAAGAGGAGATTTAAAAGAGGAATGCGGAGAAATCACATCTTCTGTGTAGTTCGTGTCACAGACCCAATTGAATCAGTGATGTAGATCGTAGACAGTTTTAAATCCATTTTCACGTATATTTGTATCTTAAAAAACGCAAATGTTCAAAGGACAACGTTTCTCATCCTCAGTTACTTTGGCATAACCTGAGATCAGGCCCAATTTTAGCGGTTTTAGCGGCCACCGCTGAAATTGGGCCTTTTCCAAACTCTCTCACGTTTGTGCTAGTTACGGCCAGATTTTGGCCGTAACGTTGATTGGCTGTTAGAACAATGCCACAAGATCTGATTGGCTGTCGGAAATGCCGGAAGCTGAAAGCTCTTATTCCTCTCGTGGTTGTTTTCGCGAATGATCCGCCGTCGGCGGAGAGAAAGGTCGATTATGCTGTCGTTTTTGTTTGATGGTCTTATGGTAGGAAAATATGCCTTAATATGTACCATGGAAATACAGAAAATTCATATGGTTGTTCATATCTTCTCTGGATTTGCTTTATTTACGGAACTAATGTGAGTGTATCGCGGAGTTGAATCCCTCTGCAAGTTCGGTGTTGACCGCTAACAAGGTGCTTTTTGATTTACCAACAAACGAGTGCAGATCAAAATACTGTCCATCTTAAAAGTGGTTTTATTGGAAAGTTTAGCCGGGAATGACTTTTCTGAGCGGGGTACGCAAACGGAGGGCTCATTGCCAAAGAAACTTCAATCGCCAACTGTGAAGTATTAGACGAAAAACATCGCATGATCACTGTTCAGGGAATTTTTGTTGGCATTATCATAAAAGCTAGTGGCGCTACTCTTAAGGTAACAGACTTTTTGTATGCCTTCGTTTTTTGTAAAAAGTAAACCAGGGAAACTGGTGTCTTCGCTTGTTGGCTGTTTGCTGTTTGTTAATTTCGATACATAAAATAAAATTTAGCGAGCTTTTCAGACCTGCAGTAAAACATCAACACAACTAATTAAAGGAGAACTACAAAGTATGTTTGTAATATTGTTTTTCGTTTTTCTTATAGCTCTCCAAAGTGATAATGTTTACATGGATTTATAAAGAAATATATTTGTTTTAGACGTTTGTTTCTCTAGTAAATGCGCAAATTGCAAGTGTACTCAGGGGACTAAATCAGCTTAATTAAATGCACTTGAGAACTCGTTGCTTTGTTCTGAGATAATTTATATATCCTTTTAAAACGTTCGCGATATATTTCTCTAAGATTTTTTAAGATTTATGTACTGAAAATCGGGGAAAATTGCCGAGGAAAATGTAAAGGCAACAGGAAGAAAAAAAATTTCAGTATTTTAAATTCGAGCGCGCCTAGCCTAAACATTAAAACTAAAACATCTGGTGTCGCCGTCTTTTCGAAGACTTTTTACCTTCTACGCCAATAGAAAAAACCTTCGAAATCTCCTTTAATCTCGCAAGAAGTTAAATGTGATTGTGCTGACTGTTTTATTTTTAGTTGAAAATATTAATTAAAAGGTAACAGCTATTTTTTAAGTCAGCAAGTCTGCATTTTTCCCACGTATGGAAAATTTGCATATTAAAAAAACAAGGAACTGAAGTAGTTTTGGTTGGCTGATTCGGAAAATGTCAATCAATCAAAAAAGTGGGCGGCAGACGTTTCGTAGAAGGTTTGTATCAGGCTCTCTTTTCGTTTCGCCTTGCCCGCCGGAATGTTATTTACAAAGCGAAACGAAAATTGAGCCTGCATCAGGTTACTTTGGCAAGCTTAGCGCACAAAGTGAATTATTATAAAATGCAGGTTTATCGTTCATACATGCATTCCAAGCAATTCTGGTGAATTTGATAGAAAACCAGTTGTTCTGCCTCTCATCGGCTGAGACGTCTTGATCTAAAATGTTATCTTGATTGAATAACGATAAATGCCCTTCTGAACAAAAATTATTAACTTAATTTGATTGTAAGTGATCATAATTAAGTAACCCCATACTGTCATGTTGACAGTGGTGTCAGTTACACCAGGCGGAAAACTCACGAAACAACATCACCTTTAATATCATTCCTGGAAAAGTCTTGGCTGAGAAGTTAAAAGCCTGGTTTTCACTAGCGTATTAGCACAAGCAAAAGGACATACTCACGCGCAGAATGGCATATTCGAGTCAATTCTTAATACCAGCTCTCCTCAACCCGATGATAAACAAGATGATGGACTCTTTGTCCGCCATATTGCTTTGATATGTTTGCATGAGGTCTGGGTCAAAATGACCTTTGATTAGTTCACGGCCTTGTACTTACGCATGTGCTTATGTCAACCCAGTTTTAAACAGTCAAAGCTACGATATAAGCATAAGCACAAGGACAACAAACTTCTCCGTTTTTCTTGCGCTTGTGCTTATGCTTATGTCGACCCAGTTTTCACTTGCTTACACCCGTGCTTGTGCTTATGCTTATGTGCTAGTGTAAACCAGGCTTAAGAAATTTCTTGGCCGAGAAGTTATCATGAGGTTAAGCCTGGTTTTCACTAGCACATAAGCATAAGCATAGGCACAAGCACACGTGTCAGCAAGTGAAAACTGGGTCGACATAAAGCATAAGCATAAGCACAAGAAAAACGGACAAGTTCGTTCTTCTTGTGCTTGTACTTATGCCCATACCGTAGTTTTGACAAGTGAAAATTGGGTCGACATAAGCACATGCATAAGCACAAGGCCGTGGACCAATCGTAGGCCACTTTGACCCAGACCTCATGCGAACATATCAAAAGCAATATGGCGGATGCTTCGTCCGCCATTTTGTTTATCATTGGGTTGACGAGAGCTGGTATCGAGAATTGAGTCAAATATGCCATTCTGCGCGTGCGTATGTCCTTTTGCTGACGCTTATGCGCTAGTGAAAACCAGGTTTAACAAATTGAAAAAAATTGGCATTTTTCAAAACATCCTTGTCGCCATGGAAACGATCGAACTCTTACTTCTAAAATGTCAAATTTATTGTCCTTAGTATAAATGTATTCTGTCCATACCAAATATGAGCCTCAATGAGTCTTGAATGACACTCCCATTATCAAACTGTTTACAACCACCTTGATTAATTGTGGTTTTTGTAGTAAATTGTTCCATTTAATATTTTTTCTGTATCCCTTGTAATTCCTTTATACAGCACGTATGGATTGGCCGAAAAGGTGATTCGAATTGTTTACAAATGGAGACAAACACTGGAATGATAGAGAAGGCGGGGGACTGTAACGACAAAAAGAACTATATTTGTGAAATGCCAGCGTCAACAACAAGTACGTTTTCTATCATCCACATCGAGAAGGTTACAGTTAGCACATTTATCGTAATAGCCCAAGCTCAATACGAGAGCCCTTAACAACCTTATTTTACTTAGCTAACTATTTATTCATACAGCAACAACCACATAAGACATTGTATAAAAATTATTACTTTTTCTCTAAAATTGGGCGAAATGTGCATTATGTTTTTCCTATTAAGCTTTTGTTTAGTATTTTCAGGTTAAGTCTATCAAATTTTCGTGAATGACTTCCAATTTAGTAAAAGCTCTGCTTTTAGGCTTGTCTACAAGTTATAATTTCACGCTTTTGCCTCAGACTTTGAGGTAAGTGAACTTGTCAGAAATACTCGATGCTTTTAAAGGCTTGTGTTATTCTGCATTTATCTTCAGGTACTGTTTGTTATGAGTACCCTAGCAGGAATTCCTCTGTTCCCATTAAAGTCAGCTGTACTTTTCCCGAAGACCTTTGTTTCAAATATGACAATACAACGTCAAACGGCGAACAAGTCACCATTCGAGGCTGTATATCCGCTGATCAATGCGGACAATTTGATGATCATCATTTGCACTGTTGTGAAGGAGATCTGTGTAATAGTGGTAAGTAAGCTCAAGTATAATGCACACAAAATAGCTAAAAATTGTTACTTTAGGTCCGCCGTGCCATGTTCCTCAGAAACAGGGAAAATTTAGTTTATTCTAACAAGGATCCATGAAGGAGGAATAGCCATGCTTAGCAGCGAAGTAGATTTTAAGAACCTTTTTGTAAGTTTTCGCAAGATAATGCACCTATTTTATTTAGCGCATACTCGCACGTTTCCTATGCCATTTATAATGCAATACCGTTCCTTGCAGTTAAGAACACCACGATATCTGAACCCGAAAATCCGACCCAGGCCATTTCTAAAGTCATTTACATCTCACTTGGTATCACCTCCGCTTTTTTGCTACTGTCCGTGGCTATTGTTGTCTGGTGCTACAGAAGAAAGAAGCTAAAGACTATTGAAAGGTTTGTGTTTCTTTTAATTTGCTAGCCTCCTTGTTCGGCGTAATTTTTTCTCTAGTTTAAGGTGTATCAAAAACACTGATATAAGCAAAATTTTACTTTCCTAGCATTTAATTTTAGCGCGATGTTATTGGTTAGATTACGTCACGTGGCCACTTAAAGCGTCGTGCACCCGCCATTGACAGTTACAAAGAAAACAATCAAGCATTTTGTTTTAGCCAAGGGGCTGAAAACCTAAAAAAGACAGTAAGAAAGAAGAGACCCTGAAGACGAATATCTTGAAAAAAAAAATGAAAATTGACTTGACTGGTAAAAAGATGTTATTGCGTTCGACGTCGAGAGAACGCAACCTAGACCCCCAAGAGCCTGAGCACGAACATTCAGCACAAAGAAACTCAACTTTTTTTAGGCTGGGTGAACTACCGAAAACGATAGGTTGAAGGGTAATGGCTAAAGTCCATGGCTGACAGCTTTCTTCTGAGATGCCTCTTTCTGCCAGCTGTTTATTTTAACAGACAACCGCTGTTGAGCCTATCTTGGACCAAGAGTTATCTCTCATGTCAACACGATATCAAAATATGCCCAGTCGGTGAGGTTGCATTTTTGAAAGGCAAAGGCCGGTTTCGAGAAGCAGCGTTTGACCTCTAATCGGGTATGGCAAATTTTCGTTGTGACGTTTTCTCACTTAAAAATGGACTAGTGGAGCAAATGTGTTCAGCAGTACCCAAAAGGGCAAGGGCTGGTTGAGTCGGATGAAGCTTCATTCATCAATAAAATTACCCGTACGTTAAAATGAAAAATTTCTCTTAGATCCCGTTTACACGGGACTGGACAAATATTTCAACGAATGATTCAGGCTTTTCCCGTGCAACCCTTTTACACTGTGGAACCGAGCAAATTCCGTATCAAATTTTAGTATGATTTGTTATTCAAAAACTTGCACTGTTCGCGGGTTCCGTGTAAACGAAATACGGCGTTGTGCAAGTTTTTGTCCGTTCATATGTCCGAATCTGTTTAAATTCAACGTGGTCTTAAATTTCTTTAAACTGTCACCAACCCTGTTGGGAATTGCCTTCAAAATAGTTGCCATCCAACACACTCACAGAAGGTTTTTATTCCTTTTCTCACAGTACAGCACACTCTCATCACAAAATAATTCTCTTTTACTATCTCCTATTGTTCTACTATTTTGCTATCAATCACGAGGTTTTCAGCTTCGCTTTCAATTCCAAAGTTCAGGGCTATCAGGTTCTCACGTGTAATCTATCACTTAACACCTCTTTAAAATCACGTGACTAAAATCAAACAAAACTTAAATCATGTTTACAAAGGAGATTGGTTATTAGTTCCGACACTTTCCCCCATATGTCTACCTTTAGGTGACATGTGTTGCATTTATCTCTAGAAACCATATCATACTAAACGTTCTTGTAAGTGAAAACGAAAAAAGGGAAAACGAAATGATTCTCAAACTCTCTACGGAGTCGGTGTTCAATGTTCAGTTCGCTTGCTCTTTGTCAGCAATATCTTGCATTCGTACTCTCGCTGCCATTGCAGCGTCACGGGTAAGTCTGAACTCTCGAACCTCCGGGTTTAGCTGTTCCTGAGTTGTCAAAGGTGTCCGGTCGCACGATAGTTCTAAGGGCTAGAGGTGGTTTAGCAGCGGCTCTGACTTGGAAACGGTGGCAACCATAACACTGTTTTATCTGTTTTAACACTCTTGGTCAGACGTCTGAGCCTCTGCACCCAATGACGGTCTCTGATCCGCGCCATTGTTAAACCGACTCCTCCATGCTACGTACAGCGATGGGCGTCTTCAACGAGTTTCACTGTGTAGGGGTGCTTGTCAGGCAGGTATACCGAGTAATGTACCTGTACAGGACCTCGACATATGAGTATCCCCTGGTCGTTTTCTTCTAAATCCAGTCTTTGTCGATCGTCTGTCACATCATCGCTTTGAATCTCTTGAGGACGCTTGGTCCAAAACAGGTGCTGGTTTTTAATCTTGTCGGTCGTCAATGGACCCATCATACTTTCTTGTTTCTTCAGGCGTGAATTCCGTATGAATCTCGCGGTCCAGGCGACAATCCTCAACGTCTTGGTCATTTCAAATTTCCCTAGCAGAACATTGAGGCACCCAGTTGTCGCATTGGCGCCATTAAAAAGTTCTTTGGTAATTTTAGCCTCTGCTTGGCTCTCAGGAGTGCGGCCTGTCACGATGTCTGTAGGCCACTTTTCTTTGCCTGAAAGCCATTCTGGTCCTTACCACCACAGCTTGCTGTCATCTACTTGCCCTCCTCGACTTCCCAGATCTGCCGGATTTTCCTTGGTGGGTACGTGGCGCCAAGTGATTCCTGAATGCTCTTGTATTTTCATCGCTCTGTTTGCTATGAACTATTTGTACTCGCCGCCACCGTTTATCCAATGGAGAGCCACTGAGCTATCCAGCCATCCATAGCGACGTTACCAGGAAACCCTTCAAGCGCCTTCTCTACGTTTGTGATAAGGTTCGTTGCTATATGTGC